CTGGCATGGGCAGGACAGCCACCCACACTGTATCGGCTCTGTACTCTGAGGACTTTCTTCTCCAGGGCTGTGACTCACCACCTTTTACAACAAGCCTGGTTGAATGCTTAGCGCTGCAGTTCACAATGGCAATAACTCAAAGATGGAAAGCCCGGGGCCTTAAATCAGTAATTATTCTCTTAAAAAAAAAATACAAGGACAGGCTCCAGCAAAGCGCATGTTCCCCAGTCTGATAAATCAGCTGGAATTTACTTGGGGGGTCTGATCGTGTTTAGTATGAAAGGAGATCATAATAATCTACTCCCCTCCCTGTGAGAAAGAGCCTCCAAAAAAATAACATCTCTCTTCCTTCTGTTGCTCCTCAAGTCTACCCTGTGATACCAAAAGATCCTCTAAAGCAGTGGTTCTCAAACTAGGGTCGCCGCTTGCGCAGGGAAAGCCCATGGAGGGCTGGGACGGTTTGTTTACCTGCCGCGTCCGCAGGTTCGGCCCATCGCGGCTCCCACTGGCCACGGTTCGCCGCTCCAGGCCAATGTGGGCTGCGGGAAGCGGCGCAGGCTGAGGGACGCGGTGCAGGCTGAGGGACGTGCTGGCTACCCTTCCTGCAGCCCCATTGGCCTGGAGCAGTGAACCGCGGCCACTGGGAGCTGCGATCAGCCGAACCTGTGAATGCGGCAGGTAAACAAACCAACCCGGCCCGCCAGGGCCTTTCCCTGAACAAGCGGCGGCCCTAGTTTGAGAACCACTGCTCTAAAGAGATTTAGAGGATCGACCCAAGTGCTTATCTTCCCTCAGTCCTTAAATCACACACACAACTCCCACCGAAGTCAATGTGAACTGAGCACAAATGAAGCAAAGGCCTGTGGGGCATGAAGTGAAAGGATCTGCACCATAGTTGAGGTAGCATTGGGCTGATGTTTAGCTCCCTGATCTGTACTGCTCACAAACAGGCAGGGCTAACAGTCATAGTCCCCTGTTCCGCCCACCGAGAAAGCCCATCTTGGCTTGAACCCGGAGTCAGGCAAATGCTTGGCCATGAGAGATGAGCCTTGAGATGTGCTCAAGAAAGGCTGTCGGGTACTGGGAAGCTTTTACCCTATCCATGAGGGAGCAGGTGATGCTGTCGCAGGCTGCTAGGAAATATCCATCTGGTAAATATCATTCCTTTTGCCTCCTTCTTAGACAGAGACCATATCCTAAAACCCTGCCCTTGAGACTTGTACCGTTCCGCACCAGTCAGTCCTACATCCACCCAACCACAGAGACAGCTGGGTGCAAGCAAAGCCCAGAACAGCTTCTCTTCCACATGCACCAGGTTCAGGAGAGCAGGCAGAGAAGACCTTTTTGGTTTCAGCTTGGCTATTGCACTGGGCTACTCCCAATTAGTCTGGATACTGATTTATGCAGCCATGTCCTTGCCAAGAATGAAATAAATATACTCTTTGGACAGCTAAAATGTCAGTGCTAGAAAGAAACAAAAGCTCAAGCAGAAATTCTCTTCCCCAGCTGGCACGAGCTCGCTCCAAGAATCCCACTCTATCATCCTGTCAAATGGGGATATTTACAGGCAGATGAAGCTCTCTTATCAGGCAAAATTCTTAGCATCAAAAACACCACAAAGGGCATCTCGCACTTGCAAGAAGTGCTGATTTGCAGCTCCGGGGTCCCTCCAGGTACAGAGCTGGCACAGTCTGGCAGCTGCCCTGCCAATGCCAACATGCGTCTACTTGACTAGGAGGAACCACCTCTACAACAGAGGGGAGTAAAGACTCCATGCCCATTGTGACAATGCGGTTCTGGCGGAACCCAACTGAGAGTGCCAACTCAGGACAAATTGCTCAAACAGGGCAGTTACAGCCCAAGGTTGGGGTTTTTTCCACCTCTAAGGCAAACCAAACCAGCCAGACTAGGAGGACTTCGGTCTCACCCCACTGGCTAACCGCAAGTCTCACAAGCAATCTCCTTAGACACTCCAGTTTCCCAGTATTACCACCAGAGCCACTCGTTATGGGGACAAATGGTTATGAAAACCAATACCCCAGTAAAAGAAAAAGGTTCTCCTGATCCCAAAGGACCAAGCGCCAGACCCAGGTCAATATACAAATCAGATCTTACCCACAAATCACGCTGTTGCCAATCCTTTAGAATTTAAATCTAAAGGTTTATTCATAAAAGGAAAAAGATAG